TTTTCATGTTATTTTAGTTTTCTTTTTTTTTTTGGTTGTGATTTTTTAACTTTTACTTTTAATTTTAAACGAATTCTGAGCTTGATGCAGTAAAACCTGCTCTGATAGCCACCTGTCCAAGACAGTGACCTGTACAAACGACCACTTCCCGCTGCCCCCTTGGGTTTAAAAAAGAAAATTACGACACTGTCCAAGATGTCACCTGTCAAAGACGACCACTTTTCTCCTCGTCAGTGGGTGATCATCTTGGACAATTTCAACTGTTGTACGAGAATCATCTTTTTCGAAGAAGTATTTTTCTGCTTTTTTTTCCTTTCCATTATATTACATATTTTTCTTATTTACAGTGCTCATTCCCTTCCTCAGTAGTATCATCATGCTCATAATACAATTGGCCAAGTCATTTTTTTTCTTACATCAGGACATCTAGATAAAAACATTGCTGACTTAAGCCATTCCTATGACTTGAGCAAAAGTAAAATTGTCTTAATAATAATTGTGTTTTTAATGCATGAAAAAAAATTATGCTCTATATTGAGGACATAAAACAAGTAACTGGCATTATTGTCATACCAATAACTAGACATTTGAAGAAGAAAAAAATGACTTCAGCAATTGTCTTATGACTGACAATATTTTCTTTAAAAAGTTCTAATGAGCTCTTTAAGACTGGTCATTTTTTTGTTTGCTCTTGTGTAAGTTGTACCTTCCTGAGTAGTTTGTGGTAGTGTGCTGTGCATGGCTTCGTTTTTGTCTTCTGCCTTGGTACACCCATGGTTGCTTGCACAAGGTGTCAAAATTGCAGCTTTCTTCTTGCTTTTTATTATTTTTTTTCACTCTCTGCGCAGTTTCTGTAGTTTCTCACCAAATTGCTTCTGTTGATGTATCACTTTGACCGCTTGGTCATCACTTTGACTGCTTGGTCATCACTTTAACTGCTTGGTCATCACTTTGACCGCTTGGTCATCACTTTGACTGCTTGGTCAATGAGTTGTGGCCTCTTGACATTTGCACCTTTCAGAATAGAATGTAAACTGGTGCATTTTACTTGTTTTATATTTCATATTCTGCACTGTTCTGTGGTTATGGTGTCAACCGTACTGTCATGAAGTGTCAGTGTGGATTTCATGGTAACTCCTGGCAAAAATAGACGTCTTACTCCCTTTTAGCTGTTATTATCAAAGCCTTGATATCTGCTTTCCTCAACTGTTTTTGATCCATCCCCATATTAAGCATTGTAGACCTATCTATCAGTGAGACTAAATTAGTTCAGTACATTTAAAGGATCGGTGTAGATAATTTAATCTTAGATGCCTAATCTACAGAAGGTTCTTTTTTGTGTGTGTGTGTGTCAGAATCTACAATACTATTATGCATATAGGTATTGGTATCCTCTCCTGTTACTTTTTATGCATTTCAAACTGAAGATATTTGTCTCAGATTTTAAGATTAAATATGTAGAGAGATAAGTCTGAATAATTTTCTTTGGCATCGATTTTGGTTTAATGTTTTTCACGGGACTATCACCTTAAGAAGTGATATTTTATTTGTTCAGCTGTTTTTGGCAGAACCAGTGCTTGGAGATCAGTTGACTTAAATGGCTTGTTGCTAAATAGGATATTTTACCCACCATATATTTTCAGTTGTTTTTTTGCAGGGGGGGGGGGTTGTATTGAGAAATTCGCAGATCTATAGTATTCACTCTGGTTCTCTGAGATGGGTGTAGAATTTATTAAGCGCCACGGCATGGCATCCTAAATATTGGATGGATTGGATTGGATACTGAAGAGATTATTACACAGTATAGCCCCATTATGTCGTCACTGTGAGAGACACATGGAAAGGAAATAGGGAGGCTGTTTTTTCGGAAGTGAAAATAATGTACTTTTCAAAAAATACATTATCTGTCAACCAAGTGTAATTTCATGTTTTACTCCTCCCATCGACACATTTTTTAGGAGGTGGGCTGTTTCAACCCTGTTTATAAGGACCGATCTGATCAAAGCCATCATCAACTCACATCTTTTGCGTAAAACGTGGAAGAGCCTATCTGTTACACCAGCGCCTGCATATCGCTAATTAGTGGGCGATTTGGTAATATGATATTGGTGGGTGGTGGGGTTCACCTGGGTAGTCAGTCACATGAATTATTTAGTGCCTTTGCTCGGAATATAATAAGTAGGTGGGCGGAACAGTACCCTTCTCGGCTTACGCGGTCACCTCCCTGCCTTCTTTGGTAATTTCCTGCAGAACCGTTCTTTCCAGGTTCGTGACGAACCTACGCTTTCCGATCCTCGTCAACAGGAGGAAGATGTTAACCTCCTTTTTGAAATAAAAATGAATCCCGTAATTCAGCCACACCCCCCCCCCCAAACACCATAAACAGATCGTTATACGTCGACAACTTTCTGATGCTGCCGATCCAGAAATCGTCAAATAAGATCTACGGAAAGATAGTTGCAGACGCAGCTGTTTAAGCTTGAAAATTGGGCAAACGAAAACGGTTTCAAGTTTTCCTTGTTAAAAACGGTTGCAATGTACCTCAGCCGATCCAGCAGACGTGTACTGCAACCTGATTTGACATTATACAGTGAAAGGATCCCCGCCCACCAGAAGGCTAGTTTCGTCAGAATAATCTTTGACAGAAAATTAAGTTCCATCCCTCAAATTAAAGACCTTCGTGTGGTTTGCAAAAGAGCCTTAACCGTCTTGAAAATTCTGTCTCATCAGAGTTGGGCGGGAACACAAAACACCTCCTCCACTTTAGATGTTCACTTGTCCGATCCAAG